GTGGAGGAGGTGTGGCCAGACAGGGTAGTCATCTGCTCTGACTCCTGTGCAGCACTGATGAGCTTAAATTCATTTGTGTCTCAGAGCAGACATGATGTATTGTATGAGGTTTTGCAGTGCTTGTATAGGGTGAGACAGGTGGGGGTATTTGTAATGTTCCTCTGGGTGTCAGCTCATGTGGGAGGAGAGGGGAATGAGGAGGTGGATGTTATCGCCAAGCAGGCTCTTAAACATCCTAATGTTGAGATGGAATTGTCAATCAGTAAAGCAGGAGCCAAGGGGTTGATAAAAACAGTGGTAAAAAACAAATGTCAAGAGTTGTGGGAAAGGTGGGGGGAGGGAGGTCATCAGGCCGAGAGAGAAGGGAGGAAAGTGTAATCACAAGGCTGAGACTGGAACATACAAGGCTCATAGTACATTGAAATTGGTGGGGAAAAATCCAACTGGGAAGTGTGATCATTGTGTCGTGGAAATTCTAATCAAAAGGAAGAGAGACTACAGATTCTTCAAAAAATCATACTTTAATATCGATTAATTATTGCAATAATGAAGCTGGTCACCCGTAGGTGATTATTGAGAGCCCGACGACCAGGGTCGGGTCTCAGTTTTTATAGAAAGATACAATCTCATTTGTGTATGTGCAGTTTAGCAAGTGTGTGAGATCATGGTGCACAAACAAGTGAAAACAACAGTTTTGTTACTCCTTTCTGCTGATAGAATTGTCGCTACTGCTCAGGCTAGCCTCTGTTCTCTTCATTTCTCCACACAGCTGTGCCCTTGAGAGAGAAAGTACTGTTTCTGGACCTATGTGAGGCAGAGGTTGGTTGCGGACAATCATCTGGTTTGCCAGTCAAATCCCCTAGTGAACAACATGCATGAATCAGACCAGAATTGCACCATGTCTGCCAGTGGTCTGATATCAAATGTACACACTCAATCCTATGAAATGATCATGGTCTTCCCATCTTGATGTGATGGGTGAAGAGGATGGGAGGGTATACCTGTCCTGGTTGTCAATATCATGGTCTTCCCATCTTGATGTGACGTTCATATGTTAGTCACATGCAATATCTCAGACAGCACTGGCCCGATTTTGACAAAACTTGGGTGAATGATGTGTCTTGCCATAGAGATCCGGTATTTACAAAATAACACTGATTGGCCAGATGGTGGTGCTATAACAACAGATTGAAAACTTGAAGTGGGCTGTCATGTGCCTTTTACTGAGGAGTGGCTTCAGTCTGGCCACTCTACCATAAAGGCCTGATTGGTGGAGTACTGCAGAGATAGTTGTCCTTCTGGAAGGTTCTCCCATCTCCACAGAGGAACTCTGGGGCTCTGTCAGAGTGACCATTGGGTTCTTGGTCACCTCCCTGACCAATGCCCTTCTCCCCCGATTGCTCTTGGGGACCTTCAATGTTGCAGAAATGTGTTGGTACCCTTCCCAAGATCTGTGCCTCGACACAATCCTGTCTTGGAGCTCTACAGACAATTCCTTCGACCTCATGGCTTGGTTTTTGCTCTGACATGCACTGTCAACAGTGGGACCTTAGATAAACAGGTGTGTGCCTTTCCAAATCATTTCCAATCAATTGAATTTACCACAGGTGGACTCCAGTCAAGTTGTAGAAACATCTCAAGGATCCCCAGAGATTGGAAAGCTGCCGCGGTCATCCCCCTCTTCAAAGGGGGTGACACTCTAGATCCAAACTGTTACAGACTTATATCCATCCTGCCATGCCTTTCGAAAGTATTTGAAAGCCAAGATAACAAACAGATCACCGTCCATTTCGAATCCCACCGTACCTTCTCCGCTATGCAATCTGGTTTCCGAGCTGGTCATGGGTGCACCTCAGCCACGCTAAAGGTCCTAAACAATATTATAACCGCGATCGATAAAAGACAGTACTGTGCAGCCGTTTTCATCGACCTGGCCAAGGCTTTCGACTCTGTCAACCACCGCATTCTTATTGGCAGACTTAATAGCCTTGGTTTCTCAAATGACTGCCTCACCTGGTTCACCAACTACTTCTCAGATAGAGTTCAATATGTCAAATCGGAGGGCCTGTTGTCTGGACCTCTGGCAGTCTATGGGGGTGCCACAGGGTTCAATTCTCGGGCCAACTCTATTCTCTGTGTATATCAATGATGTCGCTCTTGTTGCTGGTGACTCTCAGATCCACCTCTACGCAGACGACACCATTTTGGATACATCTGGCCCTTCATTGGACACTGTGTTAAAAAACCTCCAAACAAGCTTCAATGCCATACAACACTCCTTCCGTAGCCTCCAACTGCTCTTAAACGCTAGTAAAACTAAATGCATGCTCTTCAATCAAACGCTGCTTGCACCCTCCTGCCCGACTAGAATCACTACTCTCGGCGGGTCTGACTTAGAATATGTGGACAACTACAAATACCTAGGTATCTGGTTAGACCGTAAACTCTCCTTCCAGACTCACATTAAGCATCTCCAATCCAAAGTTAAATCTAGAATCTGCTTCCTATTTCGCAACAAAGCCTCCTTCACTCATGCTGCCAAACATGCCCTCGTAAAACTGACTATCCTACCGATCCTTGACTTTGGCGATGTCATTTACAAAATAGCCTCCAACACTACTCAGCAAATCGGATGTAGTCTATCACAGTGCCATCCGTTTTGTCACCAAAGCCCCATATACTACCCACCATTGTGACCTGTACGCTCTCGTTGGCTGGCCCTCACTACATATTCGTCGCCAAACCCACTGGCTCCAGGTCATCTATAAATCACTGCTAGGCAAATCCCTGCCTTATCTTAGCTCATTGGTCACCATAGCAACACCCACCCGTATTATGCGCTCCAGCAGGTATATCTCACTGGTCATCCCCAAAGCCAACACCTCCTTTGGCCGCCATTTTTTCCAGTTCTCTGCTGCTAATGACTGGAATGAACTGCAAAAATCTCTGAAGCTGGAGACTCTTATATCCCTCAATAACTTTAAGCATCAGTTGTCAGAGCAGCTTACCGATCACTGCACCTGTACACAGCCCATCTGTAATTAGCCCACCCAACTACCTCATCCCCATATTGTTATTTATTTTGCTCATTTGCACCCCAGAATCTCTATTTGCACATCTTCTTCTGCACATCTATCACTCCAGTGTTAATACTAAATTGTAATTATTTTGCACTATGGCCTATTTATTGCCTTACCTCCATAACTTACTACATTTGCACACACTGTATATAGATTTTCTATTGTGTTATTGACTGTATGTTTTGTTTTATCCCATGTGTAACTCTGTGTTGTTGTTGTTTTTATCGCACTGCTTTGCTTTATCTTGGCCAGGTCGCAGTTGTAAATGAGAACTTGTTCTCACCTGGTTTACATGGTTAAATAAAGGTGAAAAAAAAAAGAAAAAAAAAAAGATACATGGAAACAGGATGCACCTGAGCTCAATTTCGAGTCTCATAGTAAAGGGTCTGAATACTTATGTACATAAGGTATTTCTGTTTATTCTTTTTAATACATTTGCAAAAATTGTCATTATGGGGTATTGTGTGTGATTGATGAGGAAAATAAATAATTGTATCAATTTTAGAACAAGGCTGTAATGTAAACAAAATGTGAAAAAAGGGAAGGGGTCTTTCCGAATGCACTGTATATCAGTCAAGGACTCTCGTATTGTAACACAATTTGGTACACGTGTGCATGAGTAGATAAATAATGTGGCAAATCAGTCTAAACAACAGTACTTTGTCCCTCTTTTCAACGCTTTTGTGTCTATTTTTTATTATACCAAACCAAAAGTGCTGGGGCAAATGTCAGCTCGCCATATTTTTGCCAGCGGCCCTGCTGTGCTGATCACTGCAACAAGGATATATAGAAATCGGCACACAATGCTACAAATTAAGAAACATATCCTATATGTTTAAAAAAAATAGTATCTAGAATTTTTTTAGATAGTATTGACATTTTAAATTATTATTAATTAATTATTACTATTATTATTACTATTACTACATGTCATCATGAATGATATTCATTCAGCTGATTTAGTTCTCCGATGTGTTTATTTGTGTATTAAAGAACTAGTCCCTGAGTCGGAGTACTATGTCAGACCTTACCAAAAAACGTCAGACTGTTACCATGGTTACACCATGGAATTACAGTCTGACTGAAGCAATAGTCTTTACAAGGCAGCATGTTGACTACAATTATATTTTAACCTACTTTACCGGTTGTACATGGTGTTGGTCCTTTTGGCGGTAGGTGGAGATGGGGTATCCACAGGAAAGTGTTGTTTACCCAACTTTCTATGGCACCAGTAGGTTCTGTAGCTTCGCTTATATTTTCAATCTCTTGCAATATGTAAATAATAGCCGCATGTTACCAAACATAGTCAACCGAAACACACATTTCTTGGCAATCAGCTGGAAGTGTTTGTGTTTGGTCTGTGTTTCAGTTAGGCTCGGCCATATTGTGCAAGTGTACTGAAGGTCAGGTTGATAACACTTCCCTGTGGATATTTTGTATCAGATTACCTCAGACATAGGGACAACATTTGCAGACAACAGGTGAAGTAAATTGAAATGATGTTTTTTCAACATTCCTCACTTGTAATGGGACTGTTCAAGAATGCTGAGCCTACATGTTAGAGACGAGAGAGTATTTCACTCTCGGATTCTAAAAAGGCTACGTCAGGCACACTTTTCTATAAATTAGGTCCACTTCTCAATAAATTAAGAAGGTGGCAAGAGCCACCCTTGCAGAAGGAAGTTGGCGGACAGGTGGTGGGGAAAGATGGCGGGGAAAGATGGCGGGGAAAGATGGCGGAAAAGGAAATCAGGAAGAAACTGGAGCATATTAAGAAGTTGAGTGTAGAGGGAAGTAGTGAGGCGAGGAAGGTCGGAGTCAAGTGCAAAAACAGGGATATGTGCTCCAGTAGTTCAGAAGAAGAAGAAGAAGAAGAAGTGGTAAGTAAGGCAGCAAGGTACAATTGGAGCGGGAACAGAACTGGCCTGTCTCAGGGAATGTTGTTGCTGGGAGGGACGGCGTGTGTTTGCAGAGTAAACGTTCTACATGGAAACAGCACGGTAGCGAGAAGTGTCATTGAATGTTCCATTGGAAATATGTGTCTACCAGGATGAATTAAATTAGTACACCGTTTGGATTAAGCACTTGTACAACATGGTGAGTTTTGGTTAAACAAGACGCGACTTTTTAGCTAAATAACTAACGTCGCCAGTTAACGACTTCCCAGGCCGCGGCAGGGTTCGAGTCTTGCTGAGTCTTGCCACCATGTTTACATCCTTGCTTTCGCCAGACAACTTTGTCAACACAACTGGAAGCTAGACTACAAACGTCTCTAAAATCGCGAACAAATTGAATGTCGTGACATTTGCTGATAAGGGAAAAATGACAAGTAGCTAACTAACTATTAAAGTAAGCGTTCTAACTAACCTTAGTTAGCTACATTTAAAATGTACCTGTTTGTTGTGCATCTAGCTAAAGAGGCTAACGGTGCGTTGGCCAGCTAACTAGCTGGCTAACGGTGCGTTGGCCAGCTAACTAGCTACAATCTGCGCTGCTAGTTGCTAACTACCTAACCAGCCACTTGACGAATGCAAATTATTTACAGATTAAAAAACAACAACATTTAGACAGTTATGCACACCAACATATGTAATATAACGATATTGGAGCCCTTTTGTTGGTGAAATGGTGCCTGACACTGTTAGGCTAACGTTATGCATTTGCTGGCAGCTAGCTAAACTTGCCAATCAATCTCTCACTGGAAACGGTAGTAGTAGATGGCCTAGGAGCTAGTAGTAACGTTAACTTGGTTACAACTTTTTAATGTGTCAACAGCAAATGTTTCTAACGCGTTTTCTGTAAGTTGTTTAAGATGTGTCAAGTTGGCATATTCACTTTAACAGCAGTTACGTTACGGTCCCAAAAACTACCATAAAATAAAAATGCCTACTTCCTGTAATTTAGCTAGCTAGAACAAGGCCTAATTACTGTAATTTAGCCAGCTAAATAAATTACAGGAAGTTGGCCTTTTTATTATTTTAAGGTAGTTTTGGGGACTGTAACTGCTGTTAAAGTGAATATGCCAACTTGACACATCTTTGTCACAAACCATGGTGTTTGAGACAAGGTAAGCTTAGTCTCAAACACCAAAGTAAGCTTTCGGCCCAGGGGCAGACCTTGAAGTGGCGGGTTTCTGCCAGTTTTCTCACCTAACGGCCAGGGTTTCACACCCAACTCAATGGGGTTCTTTATTAGATAAGGCTCCCTGGGGTACTTGTATCTTGAAAGTGAACTTATGTGACCTTGCTGTACTATCCATTTGTTATCTATTGTGACTGCTCAGCCAAATGCCAGTGTCATAAACGTTTACAAGTTTGTATCACTAAATAAATTTCTACAGATATGATTTAGGTGGCCAATGCTGCTCATTGATGAAGTGGATGTGTGTCAGCAGAACCAAGTAGTTATTTGTCCTCAAAGGAGTACGTTCTTGCATGTTGGATGTCAAATGTTCACAAGGGCAGTAGACGAGGTCTAGCAACACTCTCGTCTTGCCCCTTGTAGATGAGCACATGCCGTTGGTGCACATCAGTGGGCGACGATGTTGCAAAACTGCTCCAGAGGTACTGTGCTGGGAATCTGTTAGCAGAGGATGAGAAGGCACTCAACAAGGACCTCAGGTACTGCCTGGAGTGTGTGGTAGTGTACCACAGGGCGAAAGAGGAGTTGCCTGGACTGCACAGGGTAAGGAGGAACCATGTATGGTTTGTGGTCGATTCATCCACATTGCTGAGTATTAAAATAAGACCATAATATGGATAGGCAGGTGTGTGATCACAAATAAAATCACGTACTTGAAAAACTGTTGCCAGTGTCCACATACTTTCTGTACGATTGATCGACTCCTTTCCTCACCACAACCCCTCTAATCTCTCTTGCTCTCTCTCCCACTCTCACTCCCAAAAAACTCTCTCTCACACACACACACACACAGAGGCTATGGGAGTTGGAGACGTCCAGGCTCCTGGGCAACTTCTCTAATGCAGCAAAGAAGGCACGGCCGTCTAAGGACCTCAGCTATGTAGAAGAGGACGGCCGGGAAATCGCAGTGCCTCATATCAGCCCCGCCGAGTACGAGGACAGTCTTCGGGTTCCCCTGTCAGAGGTCCTCAAATACCCCTACCTGCTGGCACAACCCGAATTGAGTAAGCACTCTTTTTCTTTTCAATTTAGGTGATGGATATCCTATAAAAGCCCCCAAACCAAATTTAGGAATGAAGCATGCTTGATTAAGTCCTGGACTGTGCTCTTGGTGGGTTTAAATTGATCCGATTTTCTATTTTCCAGGTGAAATGTGTGTTGAGGCAATATGTAAGATGGAGGAATATAACTCCTTCCAGGTGTTGGATAAATATCCAGGGATCTACCTCCTCCTCGTCCACCCCAACGAGACGGTAATAACTTAAATGCTGAATTGTTACAAATACAAAAAACAAATGGAGACTTTTATGGTTCGATGGTAATTAAATAAAAAATACATTTTGTATATCTAACACGTCTTTATATTTGTTAAAGAGCTTATTAAGGCTCTCGTCTGCCTGGCATGGTCACAAACGCTTCTGTAAGTCTACTGTCATCACTTCTGCTGTTATTTATTCTTTCAGATTAGGCGGTGGGCAATTGGTGCTGCCAGGTCTTTAGGGAAGGTGGACCGAGACGACTTTTATGAACTTCAGGACATCTTCTCCTGCATGTTCTGCAATGTCGAGCTGCGAATCCCCCAGAACTTCCCAGACATGGATACCTCCTATGATCCTACGACTAAGATGACATGGCTGCAACCGCATCTTTACGATTCAAAAAATGACAAAAACTACTGGTTGGGTATGTTTCTTTGCCCTGTGTTCCCATTTGGGGTCTTCCAGACCTTTCTCCAAGAGAGTGTATGTTTTTTGTGAAACAACTGATGTGCTCGAGGGTAAGTTAACCATTTCTGAAGCGCAAATAAATACTATACCCGTTATATGATCCACAGCAGTGTTTTATACACTGAACAAAAAATATTAACGCAACAGTTCATATAAGGAAATCAGTCAATTGAAATAAATTCATTATGCGCTAATCTATGGATTTCACATGACTGGGAATACAGATATCCATCTGTTGGTCACATATCTTTAAAAAAAGGTAGGGGCGTGGATCAGAACCACTCAGTATCTGGTGTGCCCACCATTTGCCTCATGCAGTGCGACACATCTCCTTCACATGGAGTGGATCAGGCTGTTGATTGTGGCCTGTGGAATGTTGTCCCACTCCTCTTCAATGGCTGTGCGGAGTTGATGGATATTGGCGAGAACTGGAACACGCTGTCGTACATGTCGATCCAGAACATCCCAAACATGCTCGATGGGTGACATGTTTCGTGATGTGACTTACTTTAATGTATGACTGTTATTTATCGAATCACCTAACTATGTTTAATTGCCACTCGATTTAAATTAATAATGTAACAATTAACTCATTAGGAATTTGGGGCACCACAGAAGTTGTTTAATGAGTTACCATGTCCCGAATTAAACTCTTAGAAGATATATATATGTTATATATCGATAACAGTCACTTATCAAATAATTACCTTTTGTCAGTCTCATTCTGAACGTCGCATAATCCTTGTACCTGCAAGAACCCTAACCTTATTGATGAATCAGCAATACACAAATTGGCTTTATTATTTATTTACTAACTAAATAATAACACCTTACAAACACGTTATTGATTACTAACGTAATACAATGAATACAGGTCCCTAGTGGACTGGACTAACATTAGCATGAATGCTTGGGTAGTGGAGGGGTCAGAATGGACGGTAGAGACAGAGATTCAAACTATCGTTGTTATTTTGGAAACAACGCTCACAGTAATCATAATACTTATGCACCCTAATAATCGCTCATTCGGATTAGAAATGCAACATGTATTTACGTGTTGCTGTCCTCTAGTTGAGTTGATGATGTAGGATTCTGGTTTGCCCACCAGAGATCTCAATGTCCTTGGTAGAGTTTCTGGTCGTAGTGGTGGTTAGAATGGATACTTAAGATGTACCAGCGGTTGTCTGAGAGGGATTGTCCTCCTCTCTCGTGTCTTGAGTGAAAGTTCTCTAGACGACTATACATGCCAGCTGCAGACTGAGATGATAAGGTCTAGTGCATTGTCTTCTTCTTCACCTCGTGTAGAGGTTCAGAGTTTCTCAATTTCAAACATGTGGACTCACGTTTTCTGGTCTTTCTAGTCTAACCATTTTGTAACGTTTAGCTCACGCTTCACGTCTGCTGGTCTGTAGTGTTTCAACCATTTCAAGCCGTGGGGCTTGCTGGTCTGGTGAATTTCGTCACAAGGCTTTTTATGCTCTTGGGGTAAAAGGGGTGTTCCATCATGTTTGTGCTCATCTTGGCGTGGCCACTGACTCAGAACAAATCAATATGGAAAACAATCATCTCATCTAGAATGCTGAATTCACATTATCTTCACAAAAGTATTATTATACTTAATAATTTGTTTTATACAACCATTAGATGCAAACCCCATAACTGGGAAGTGTACGCCCCCAGAGATACAGTTATGTTGTTCCACCATCTTTAATGACATCACAACAAAGTAACACATTTGACATGATTGTTCTTTAAGTCCCCACCAACCATTTCCCACGTTCTTTTAAGTAGGAATATTGTTTCATTATCCACTTTTGGTTGTTGGAGTCTTGGCGGGAAGACTTCCTTTGTCTCACAGAGAAATTCCCTCTCCCAATACTGCATGGCACGGAAAATAAAGTTTCTGCAAGGAATTTACGACCGGTCATAAAACTGGCCCCCAGGAAAGGGGGTGTTCAAACCTTTACCTAGCCGGAATCTTTGATACTCAGTCATGACACATGTCTGGTGAGTATGCAGGCCATGGAAGAACTGGGACATTTTCAGCTTCCAGGAATTGTGTACATATCCTTGCAACATGGGGCCGTGCATTATCATGCTAAAACATGACGTAATGGCGGCGGATGAATGGCACGACAATGGGCCTCAGGATCTTGTCCCGGTATCTCTGTGCATTCAAATTGCCATCGATAAAATGCAATTGTGTTCGTTGTCCGTAGCTTATGCCTGCCCACACCATAGCCCCACCGCCACCATGAGGCACTCTGTTTACAAAGTTGACATCAGCAAACTGCTCACATGACTCCTTTCATGCTATCTGCTCGGAGAGTTGAAACCGGGAATCATCTGTGCAAAGTACACTTCTCCAGCGTGCCAGTGGCCATCGAAGGTGAGAATTTCCCCAATGAAGTCGAATACGACAGGTCAAGCAAGACCTGTCCGGGTGGCTGGTCTCAGACGATCCCGGAGGTGAAGAAGCCGGATGTGGAGGTCCAGGGCTGGCGAGTTTACATGTGGTCTGCGGTTGTGAGGCCGGTTGGTCGTACTGCCAAATTCTCTAAAAATACGTTGGAGGCGGCTTATGGTAGAGAAATTAACCTTAAATTCTCTGATAACGGCTCTGGTGGACATTAATGTAGTCAGCATGCCAATTGCACGCTCCTTCAACTTGAGATATCTGTGGCATTGTGTTGTGTAACAAAACTGCACATTTTAGTTGCCTTTTATTGTCCCCAGCACAAAGTACACCTGTGTAATGATCATGCTATTTAATCAGATTCTTGATAGGCCACACCTGTCAGGTGGATGGATTATTCTGGCAAAGGAGAAATGCTCACTAACAGGGATGTAAACAAATTTGTGCACAAAATTTGAGAGAAATACGCTTTATGTGCGTAAGGAAAATGTTTGATATTTTATTACAGCTCATGAAACATGGGACCAACACTTTACATGTTGCAGTTATATTTTTGTTCAGTATAGATTTGAGTAACAGAATGTGAATAGAGAACTTGTTAATGAGCAACGCAGTCAATATTAAGCATCACAGTTTATGCCCTCTCTCCCCTCCCCCAGGCATCTGTATGCTTTTGACACAGCTGGATGCCCAGGCTATGGACTCGCTGTTCCTGGGGCCAGACAAACAGGCCAACATACTGCACTGTATCCTTAACGCCATGGACCGTGGCATGGAGGGTAAAGGAATAGATACTTTATATCTTCTGCCTGTCTCAATGTTTTTCTATTTCCATCGTGCCAACTGAACATGAAGCTGGTCAGTAGAGCTAATTTGCTGTCTACAGCTTCCTCTTTGAGAATAAAACATTAAAATGTTTAAAATTAAACCTTTTATTTAACCAGGAAAATACCCTTGTTGTTAGAAACCTCCTTTTGCAAGGGGGACCTGGCAAGAGGTCAGCAGGAAGAAGTCTGCGTGTACATACAATTCATTCAAAATAATTGCAATGGTCAATGACATTTTCTTCTATCAGAGCTTTAAAGACACAGTGATACCCTCTACAGTTTTTTGGTCTTTTGTAGTTTGTTCCAAGACCAAAGAGTGTTATAGTATTTTTTCCCCCCCACATTTCAGTTCTTGCCCTAGGAACTGTGAAGGAGAGCACTGACTGCGAGCATAGGCTGTGGGATTGTGATTTTTAGTTGGGAGCAAAGATATGTAGGGAGTAGCCCAAGCACTGCCTTGTACCAGTGTTTAAGCCTTCTGGAAGGGAGGGCCACTTCACCATGTTGTGTATTTCACAGTAATGAGTGAGTGGTCTTGCATTAGTGATGAACCTAAGCAGTCCTTGATACACTGCATCCAGCACCTTAAGTGTACTGGTGGAGGCTCGCATGTAAATGATGTCACCATAGTCCAACACAGATAAAAATGTACCTTCTACAAGAGCCTTCCTAACTGACGTAGCTAATAATGTGTAAACATTTATTTCCCCAGATGAAGAACCATCCAAGGAGATGGATCCCTTTTGGCCAGTCTTGCAGTGTTTTATGGTGATCTTGGATTGTTTGGGCTCTAGGATTTGGGGTCCGATTGAGCCAACCCAAGCCTTCCAGGCCATCACAGGAAGACCAAGCTACTCTGCAGAGCTCGAGAGCATCAAACAACAAACCATGATGTACGTTTCACTATTTATCTAGCCTTGAATTCTTTCATATTGTTATTTCTTAGAAGTTAAGCATATGGTTGATACTATTCTTCTTTTGCTCTGAAGATCAAGGGTTAAAACGGAAACTACATGTGATGATGACATGGTGACCTGCAGTCAGATGGTTTATGACAGTAACACCAAAGTGAGCAAGGTATATTATTAGTTGTACTCAATTCCTCTAATATGTAGATCTGTGGTTAGCGTTCAAATGTGTTTTAAGTCAGCACTTGAAGCTTTCCCAAAACATGACCTTTTTAGAGTAAAAAACACAATGCAGAACAACAAACTGCTTAACAAGCTCTTCTCATACTCAAGCTATTCTCCCTGATCTTTCTTACAGAAGGATTCCAAGCTTGTTTCATGTGCTACCAGTCAAGAGCGTCCACGAGTCAGGGACAGTGTTGAGGTTATTTATTGCAAACAGTCTTAATAGGAATAAAACATTATTAACCCAACCTCAGACTGAAACAGTAAAAAATGTAGGGTACATCTGTGGTGGCCTTTAGTTTGGAGGTACACATGGTTTTATTAAATGTCATATTACAAAATATTACTAATGTAGTACTCCTGAGTGGCGCAGTGGTCTAAGGCGCTGCATCGCAGTGCTAACTGTGCCACTAGAGATCCTGGTTCGAATCCAGGCTCTGTCGTAGCCGGCCGCGACCGGGAGACTCATGGGCGGCGGACAATTGGCCCAGCGTCATCCAGGGTAGGGGAGGGAATGGCCGGCAGGGATGTAGCTCAGTTGATAGAGCATGGCGTTTGCAACGCCAGGGTTGTGGGTTCGATTCCCACGGGGGGCCAGTATAAAAAAATATATGTATTCACTAACTGTAAGTCGCTCTGGATAAGAGCGTCTGCTAAATGACTAAAATGTAAATGTAAAATACATTGAGTTGGTAGAAGGTATGTTAACTTCCTATGCATTTCTCTAATCTTATGTAATACCATGTTATGTATTACTATTTATTTTATTTTGTAGGAAAAGGGTAGCAGACGCTCACATGGTGCAGATAGCAGTGTGGTCTATGAGGAAATGAGTTCTCTGGTCAACCTCCTGCATTCAGAAATGGGCCAGGCATTGCGTGTGCACGACAGCACATTTCTCTGGTTCATCCCCTTTGTGAAGTCTGTTATGGACCTCGATGAACGCAGTGTCATATACATTAATGAGGTTGTCCACTACCTGTGTGGGGAGATCAGCACAGACCTCCTGAAGCGCCAGGTTCGCATATGTGACAAGGTCACGGAGTTCTTCACCCTTATTCTCGTCCATATCATCGATTTGCACCTGGGGAGTGGCCGCATGAATATGCTCTATTACTGCGCTCCCAAGTGGGTGGGCGTGTTGGTGAAATGTGCAACCCTGCCTGGTGATGCTTTTGTCCACACCTCGGAAGGTTCAGTGTCTCACTCTGTGTCTTCCACATCCTCTTTGAGGGTCAGTGCACCCCGAAAGGCCTCTACTAGCAGGGCTGTTCCACAGTCATGCACGCATATCATCCGGTCCCTGCTGAAGGAAGGGAGCAGGCTGAACCCCAACAGTAAGTGCAAGCACTTCCTGAACCGACTGAACAAGCACCTCAGAGAAGGGCCCCAGAGGGAGTGGAAGCTGATTAGGCTGGAGATTCAGGGGCTTCAGATCTGTCTGAAGGACTATGTCAAGACGATGATGAACAGGCCAACCACAAGTACTCCTCCACCCGAACAGCTGAACATTGATGCAGGGCCTGTGGCACCAACCACACCACCACTTCAATCAAGCAATGACACCTCGGGATCTAGCGGCTTAGCTGAATATAACCATCCTATAAAACAGGAAGGGTTGTGGGATTATGTCGATGGCAGTACATCTGGTGGTAGGGATTCTAATGCAGTTCAGAGGGGCAGGGACATAGACCTAGCGTTGCTGAAAAAGGAGCCCCTAACCCCTGAGGAGGAGTTTGTAGAGCCGACTAATGATTCAAGACCAACCCAAGAGAAGTTCTCTTCCTTGAGGGCACATCCAGAGAAAATACAGGTGATCAAATCCAGACTTGGCCAGTTTATGACCAAGAAGTCCAACTCTGAGATAGATGAGACCTCTGTAGGGCTCAGTGAATTCGGTAAAGAGAAACCTCAAAATCTGTTCACCAGCTGTAGAGATGAGGCATCCAACTACCAAGGCATTAGCAGAGACCCTCCATGCCCCCAAGAATCTGTTGACAATGAGCAGGTGGACAATGTGCCCCTCTCTGTTTTAAAAAGTAATCTTAAAGGAAGAGTAGGCTCCAAATCTTCACAAGATCGGAGTAAAGGATACACTAGACAATTTGACCGACAACGATCACCACCAAAGCCTCCTTCAGACGTCATTGTTATATCTGATGACGAGGCTACATTAGATGTTGGTAGAGCAAGAGGAACTCAGTCTTTTTCTGAAACGTCACAAATTAAAAATGAACCGGATACCTCCGACCAGAATCACAGTACCTGGCGTGATTACGACGGAAACATGAGTGAATCTCAGGTGTTTGAGTTTGAAACACAGGAATATATGGCGTCTGCCTGGTCCAACAGAGATTCAGAAAGTAACATGCCACCCGAAAAGTCCAAAGAAGATAGCCCTGTCAGACATCTTTTGAGTCCAACTTTAAGAGAGCCTTTATCAACCTGGGAATGTGATACACAACCTATCTATGACGAGGATATTGAAAGAGCCTGTAAGCAGGTTGAGAAGGAGCTTGAGAAGCCTAAGACCCCACCACAAGGGCTCAAAAGGGCCATCGTTGTCAAAAAAAGAAATCTTCTTGTTGATCCAAAACCATTGGCCTCCAAGTGCCTGAGCAAGAAACCTACCGTGGTAGAAAAACTAATCAAAGAGCCTGTGAAGGATGCTCCCCATGCAGTCACACCGCCATTGAGAAAAAGCAGTTCAACAGTACGTTCAAACAGACTAGAAACCGAGACACCTTCCTTAACCACATCAGCCATCTCACACAAAACGTCATTAACTCCAGCCATTGTCCCTCCTAAAAAAGTCAGAAAAGCCGCAGAGCCTGTGTCCATAGCAGAGAAGCTTGGCCTTAAGAAGAAGGAGCGAAAGGCCTTTAATCTCTCCCAGCAATCGCATGACACTGTTGATGAGCTGAGGCGCCACGGCGCTACAGTCAATGTCCTACAGGCCAAGCAGCCTACCCGACACACCAAGAGGTCAAAGGTGACCTCCCCTCAGAAGGGAGTGGTCAATGCGAGTAACAAGAAGCTGCTAGCCGCACCGTTCTTCAGGCAGAGCAAGCAGGCTTCGGGAGCAGGTACCTCTGCAAAGGCAGAGCCAATGAAGAGAAATCCTAAAAAGATTGACGAGAATCAAAGACCCAGTTTTGTTACAGAGGAGGACGATGAAGACGAGGACCTGCAGTGTTCCCAGCTAGATCCTGCCCGCCATGAGGAACAGCTGACGTTCAATCGCAGCTCTCAAAGAGCCAATGAGAACAAACCAGCATCATCCAATACAGTGAGTAGTGTGTCGTCCAACATGGACAGGCAGATATCTCCATACTTTCAGAGGAATGATGTCATACCTGGACCTTCTGGTCAAGTTCCCAAAAGCAATGAGGAAGGTGACGGTTATGATGCAGACTGTATGTACCTCACCCAAATGGAGCCAACTGACATGGAGATGTGCTCGCAGATGGAGGAAGAAGAAGAATTCTTCTACACGCAGCGGGACCCTGTAGACATGGACATTGACTCGGACAGCCAGATGCCCTTTGAGGAAAAAGGAGGGTCTTCAGACTGGACACTGCCTAATCAGGCAGACGAAGGGCAAGAGGCTCCACTTGTCCCACAGACCTTTAAGAAACCGGCTACTCCGCCACCCTCGCGCTCTAGCTTGGCTCAGGACGATGATCGCTTGTTCCTGAAACCAGGAATGTCCCCTATGTCGGTTAAAAAGGCCAAGCCGTCCACCACCAAGATCTATGCAACCTCAAGCTCCAGGAGTGCCTCCTTGGTGCAAGAAATGGAGAGGACTGCCAATGCTCATTTTTTGGCTTCTTCTGCCCCTGCTGGAAGAGGTAGGCCTGCCCGGCCAGTTGTGCCTGGCCGGCCAGTCGTGCCTGCACGAAGTCCCTGTGTACTAAAACCACCTCCTCATCCAGATGTCGGTCAGTCTCTCCAACTGAATCGACTCTTATACAGACCCATCACACCACAACTACCACCTAAACCCATTCCACCAAAACAACCACCACCCAGATCTGAACAAAACCTCCCCCGTCCACCTGGCCAGCCCCTCCGCCCTATCCAGCACAGCAACATAGGTTCCACCCCCCAGCCCTCCACTTCCAAGACCTACCCCAGGCCTGACGCCCCTTTCCAAAGGCAGATACCCAACCCGGAGGTTGTCATCAGATTTGACCCCAACTACCTGATTCAACACATCCTGAAATGGACATTTGATATGTTCAGCAACTACAAGCAGTTTGGTTTACCCTCTGAGGTATGTGAGTTACCGCTGGAAACAGTAGGCTTCAGCTTCAGCTCTTATGATGAATACTACAAGACTTTTTACCCCCTGCTTCTCACCAACACTTTTGAGGAGGTGAGTAGTCAATTTGTTACCAAATAATTGTAACTCATTTAGGTGTGAATTCTGTTCTGCTATGGTGCATTTAGGCTCTAGGCAACTGAAAAGGATGGTCAATCTAGCATTACAAAGAGCATTGACATTTTGGCTAACGTTAGAGTTGTGAGTAATGAGTCACAAAGCAGTTTAATGGCCGTCTCTTGGAGTCGATCTCTTCTATTAAAGTCAAATTCCCTTCTCTCATCAAAGCTTGCAGGTGAATGGCTAAAGAACAAGGAATCAGGAAAGGTTGTCACTCAGAATTTAAAAGTTGTCGCAAATGAGTACAGCCACAGTGTTTGGAATGTCAGTTTTACAGGTAAGCTTACTGAAGGAACCCATTTTTTTTATATTGCTTACTCTAACCATTTAAAAACAACAATGCGTGAAGCTTGCACTAGAATCTACATACTGTAAACATTGATACAATTTATGTTTTTGTATCAGATTTCTATTTAATTGTGATGTTGTTCCAATGCTGATCCACGTAACAGAATTATTTTTGTCAGCGAGCATTACTGCCAGTGATGTCTCCCGTCAGATGTACCCTAGGGAGGATGACCTGGTCATTCTGTGGCTGCCCCAGAATACAGGTGCTTACTCACGGCATGAGCAGGGCTTCTTGGATCCCCAAGAATATTTAGGCTATGTACAGAGATCCAATATCTGCAACGGAGGTGTGGGTGAGTACATTTGTGTGTAGGAGGCCAGGAAGTGATGGGCTTACATTAAGAGGGAAGGGGATTGTATTGCTATGGAAAGACAAGTTGAATATAAATATCCTCAACATACAGTACCAGTCAAAAGTTTTGGCACACCTACTCATTCAAGGGTTTTTCTTTATTTTTACTATTGTCTACATTGTAGAATAATAGTGAAGACAAAAACTATGAAATAGCACATATGGAATCATGTAGTAACCAAAAAATATATTTTGATTTCTTTAACATTTTAAATGAGATTCTTCAAAGTAGCCACCCTTTGCCTTGACAACTTTGCACACTCTTGGCATTCTCTCAACCAGCTTAATGAGGTAGTCACATGGAATGCATTTCAATTAACAGGTGTGCTTTGTTAATTTGTGGAATTACTTTCCTTCTTAATGCGTTTGAGCCAATCAGTTGTGTTGTGACATGGTAGGGGTGGTATACAGAAGATAGCCCTATTTGGTAAGAGACCAAGTCCATATTATGGGAAGAACAGCTCAAATAAGCAAAGAGAAACAACAGTCCATCATTACTTAAGACAAATACAGAACATTTCAAGAACTTTGAAAGTTTCTTCAAGTGCGGTCGCAAAAACCATCAAGCGCTATGATGAAACTGGCTCCCATGAGGACCGCCACAGGAATGGAAGATCCAGAGTTACCTCTGCTGCAGAGGATAAGTTCATTAGAGTTACCAGCCTCAGAAATTGTAGCCCAAATAAATGCTTCACAGAGTTCAAGTAACAGTCACATCTCAACATCAACTGTTCAGAGGAGACTGCGTGAATCAGGCCTTCATGGTCGAATTACTGCAAAGAAACCACTACTAAAGGACACCTATAAGAAGAAGATACTTGCTTGGGCCAAGAAACACGAGCAATGGACATTAGACCGGTGGGAAGTGTCCTTTGGTCTGGAGTCCAAATTGGAGATTTTTGGTTCCAACCGCCGTGAATTAAAAAAAACTGTGTGGGTGAACGGATGATCTCTGCATGTGTATTTCCCACCGTAAAACATGGAGGATGAGGTGTGGGGGTGCTTTACTGGTGACACTGTCTGTGATTTATTTAGAATTCAAGGCACACTTAACGAGCATGGCTACCACAGTATTCTGCAGCGATACGTCATCCAATCTGTTTTGGACTTAGTGGGACTATCATTTGTTTTTCAACAGGACAGTGACCCAACACACCTCCAGGCTGTGTAAGGGCTATTTGACCAAGAAGGAGAGCTGTATCAGATGACCTGGCCTTCAAAATACCCCGATCTCTACCCAATTTACATTTACATTACATTTTAGTCATTTAGCAGACGCTCTTATCCAGAGCGACTTACAGGAGCAATTAGGGTTAAGTGCCTTGCTCAAGGGCACATCGACAGATTTTTCACCTAGTCGGCTCGGGGATTAGAACCAGCGACCTTTCGGTTACTGGCACAACACTCTTACCCACTAAGCTACCTGCCGCCCCCAATTTGAGATGGTTTGGGATGAGTCGGAGTGCAGAGTGAAGGAAAAGCAGCCAACAAGTGCTCAGCATATGTGGGAACTCCTTCAAGACTTTTGGAAAAGTATTCCAGTTGAAGCTTGTTGAGAGAATGCCAAGAGTGTGCAAAGCTGTCAAGGCAAAGGGTGGCTATTTTGAAGAATCTCAAATATAAAATATATTTTGATTTGTTTAACACTTTTTTTGGTTACTACATGATTCCATATGTTATCATTGTTTTGATGTCTACACTATTATTCTACAATGTAGAAAATAGTAAAAATAAAGAACCCTTGAATGAGTAGGTGTGTCCAAACTTTTGACTGGTACTGTGTGTGTGTGTGTGTGTGTGTAATGAGAGCCATTTTTCCATTCACTATAATGGGGATCCTGTTTTTTGCTGTCAATTCCTACAAGTGCAGTGGTCAACCTTGAACTTCCGTAGCTTCAATTAGAGGGGCCAGTCATTTTACCCGTAGGGGTATTCTACAAAGGAGAATCAATGTTAGATTGCTAACTTTGATAAGCACCCACCAATAACTTGATTTGATGGTTCATTTAAAAAAGCTAACATGTATTTTTCGTTTGTTAAATCAGTTAGCCCATTCCCATTTCAAGCTTATCTTTCTATAAAATATAAAGTCATATCAGAATATTTAGTCAACTAAGCTGGCTAACTCATTTTATCCTGCTTTATAGTATACCCCTGTGGACCATTTTGAAGGTCGTTTTGCAAGCCATTGCTAAGTAGCGTTAACTCTGGGAGACTTCCAGTCATTGCGCAAACTTCCTTCAAACTGCGCACAGAGACATAAAAATGGTATCCATGACTGTATCTGACTGGGCAAGTAGAAAAAGGGCTTAATTGCCACAATCGCACACTATCCCTTTAAAGAGGATAGCTGATAGGAAAAACATGACGTAACTTCAGAGTTACCTCTGTCCATGCATCCTCATCATACAGTGAGGGGAAAAAAGTATTTGATCCCCTGCTGATTTTGTACGTTTGCCCACTGACAAAGACATGATCAGTCTATAATTTTAATGGTAGGTTTATTTGAACAGTGATAGACAGAATAACAACAAAAATCAAGAAAAACACATGTCAAAAATGTTTATAAATTGATTTGCATTTGAATGAGGGAAATAAATATTTGACCCCTCTGCAAAACATGACTTAGTACTTGGTGGCAAAACCCTTGTTGGCAATCACAGAGGTCAGACGTTTCTTGTAGTTGGCCACCAGCAGGTTTACACACATCTCAGGAGGGATTTTGTCCCACTCCTCTTTGCAGATCTTCTCCAAGTCATTAAGGTTTTGAGGCTGACGTTTGGCAACTCGAACCTTCAGCTCCCTCCACAGATTTTCTATGGGATTAAGGTCTGGAGACTGGCTAGGCCACTCCAGGACCTTAATGTGCTTCTTCTTGAGCCACTCCTTTGTTGCCTTGGCCATGTGTTTTGGGTCATTGTCATGCTGGAATACCCATCCATGACCCATTTTCAATGCCCTGGCTGAGGGAAGGAGGTTCTCACCTAAGATTTGACGGTACATGGCCCCGTCCATCGTCCCTTTGATGCGGTGAAGTTGTCCTGTCCCCTTAGCAGAAAAACACCCCCAAAGCATAATGTTTCCACCTCCATGTTTGACGGTGAGGATGTTGTTCTTGGGGTCATAGGCAGCATTCTTCCTCCTCCGAACACGGCGAGTTGAGTTGATGGCAAAGAGCTCGATTTTGGTCTCATCTGACCCCAACACTTTCACCCAGTTCTCCTCTGAATTATTCAGATGTTCATTGGCAAACTTCAGACGGCCCTGTATATGTGCTTTCTTGAGCAAGGGGACCTTGTGGGCGCTGCAGGATTTCAGTCCTTCATGGCATAGTGTGTTACCAATTGTTTTCTTGGTGACTATGGTCCCAGCTGCCTTGAGATCATTGACAAGATCCTCCCGTGTAGTTCTGGGATGATTCCTCACCGTTCTCATGATCATTACAACTCCACGAGGTGAGATCTTGCATGGAGCCCCAGGCCGAGGGAGATTGGCAGTTTTTTTGTGTTTCTTCCTTTTGCGAATTATCGCACCAACTGTTGTCACCTTCTCACCAAGCTGCTTGGCGATGGTCTTGTAGCCCATTCCAGCCTTGTGTAGGTCTACAATCTTGTCCCTGACATCCTTGGAGAGCTCTTTGGTCTTGGCCATGGTGGAGAGCTTGGAATCTGATTGATTGCTTCTGTGGACAGGTGTCTTTTTTATACAGGTAACAAGCTGAGATTAGGAGCACTCCCTTTAAGAGTGTGCTCCTAATCTCAGCTCGTTACCTGTATAAAAGACACCTGGGAGCCAGAAATCTTTCTGATTGAGATGGTGTCAAATACTTATTTCCCTCATTAAAATGCAAATCAATTTATAACATTTTTGACATGCGTTTTTCTGGATTTTTTTGTTATTCTGTCTCACTGTTCAAATAAACCTACCATTTAAAATTATAAACTGATCATTTCTTTGTCAGTGAGCAAACGTACAAAATCAGCAGGGGATCAAATACTTTTTTCCCTCACTGTATATATGCATTTATAAACTGGGTGGTTCGAGCCCTGAATGCTGATTGGCTGACAGCCGTGGTATATCAGACCGTATACCACAGGTATGACGACCTTTTATTTTTACTGCTCTAATTACATTGGTAACCAGTTTATAATAGCAATAAGGCACCTTGTGGGTTTGTGATATATGGCCAATTCACCACGGCTAAGGGCTGTTCTTATGCGCAACGCAATGCGAACAGCCCTTAGCGGTGGTATGTTGGCCATATACCACACCCCCTCGGGCCTTATTGCTTAATTATCCATTGTATTATTTTACTATATTGCATTACTTGTAATACAAAACGGTATTGTTTTACTGTTAAGTGTGTTGATTTCATTTTAAATGCACTTTATCTAAAGCTTGGTGTGATGTATTTCTCTTCAGGCCAGTGCCCAACTCTGAACCTGATGATAAAGACCCTGGGGAATGTGATGTTGGCGAACAAGCAGGCAGTGCGCTGTGATGTGGTGGGCTCCCTGGTCAGCACCATGAGGGTTTTCAGGGCAATCTGGCAGCTCAATGGCAGCTCTATGCTCAAGCCCATCCTGGCCCCACAGGTCTCCTACTTCCAACCTGGCCCGGAGGTCATCCCCAGCCTCAACCTGCCTGTAAGAAACGTCTGTTTCCCCCCCCCCCCCCCCCATTTTATAATATGCATTTGAAAAGGGTTTAAAAGTGAAGTTATTCCTTTGTGGAACTATTGGATAACAAAGGATTTGTGACTTGACTTGTAAATGTGACATGGCCAATTGTAAATGTTTTGTTTAATTTCAGGTGGCCCTTTTCATGTGTGAAAATGGCCTTGTATACATGTAAACAGTATGTCTGTATGATGTGTTTGGCCCAGGGTTACAACCCAGACCAGGTGAGGGCGGTGAGAACCGGTATGTCTGTTATCAGGAACCAGCAACTCACCCCAAAAATCTGCCTGATACACGGACCCCCAGGAACGGGAAAGAGCAAAACCATTGTGGGCCTGCTGCAAAAGCTGTTCTCTGAGGTACGCTGTTTGCCTTGTTTCTGGACATTGTTTTGTCGTACAACCCTGGGCTAAGGTCATTAGACACAAGGGGAGACATTTTCAAAAACAAAAATGAGTTTCTTTTGCTCTAGTGTTCTGTAGTGTGTATTTTCTCAGCTCGCTCCATTTTCTTTCCTATTGAACAACCTTGGCTTAAAGGCATTGTGAAATTCAAACGTTCATATAATTCCCTGTTCTCCTCTCATAACCATCTCCAGGGAGTACAGAGTATGGCTCCTCCAGTGAACAGGCAAGCTAAACCTCGCCGCACGCGGGTCCTCCTGTGCGCCCCGTCCAACGCCGCCATCGACAATCTGATGAAGAAGATTATCCTGGTCTTCAAAGAGAAGTGCAAGAACATCCAGGGTATGCTACCTCAACTATGGAAATACTCAATGAATTGGTGAACTGTGAATAGATGGAAAAATTAAATGGGTTAAAAGTTACAAGGCAATTCAACCACAAATGATTGTTTCACGGAACTGATATGGTGAAGTTGACATTGTCCTGGATGGCTTTCTTAAAGGTAACTGTGGGGACATCAATCTGGTGAGGCTCGGGAACGACAGGACCATCTCCAAGAATCTGAAACCTTTTAGCCTGGACAGTCAGGTGATAAACAAAACACGTGAGTCTGGAGAGTGTACGCGGGCACAAAAACGCACACACCTCCCTCCCTCAAATCACCTCATAAAAAGCACACTCATGTGTTTTGTCAATTTTCTCCTGCAGAAAAGGCCCTGATGTCACAGGACTCAGACGTCCACAGACGCATAGCGCAGCTGGATGAGAACATAGACAAGATCTCCAAGATGTTGCCCAAACTGCAGAAGAATGAGGAAATGGTACATACAGTGGGGAGAACAAGTATTTGATACACTGCCGATTTTGCAGGTTTTCCTACTTACAAAGCATGTAGAGGTCTGTAATTTTTTATCATAGGTACACTTCAACTGTGAGAGACGGAATCTAAAACAAAAATCCAGAAAATCACATTGTATGATTTTTAAGTAATTAATTTGCATTTTATTGCATGACATAAGTATTTGATACATCAGAAAAGCAGAACTTAATATTTGGTACAGAAACCTTTGTTTGCAATTACAGAGATCATACATTTCCTGTAGGTCTTGACCAGGTTTGCACACACTGCAGCAGGGATTTTGGCCCACTCCTCCATACAGACCTTCTCCAGATCCTTCAGGTTTCGGGGCTGTCACTGGGCAATACGGACTTTCAGCTCCCTCCAAAGATGTTCTATTGGGTTCAGGTCTGGAGACTGGCTAGGCCACTCCAGGACCTTGAGATGCTTCTTACGGAGCCACTCCTTAGTTGCCCTGGCTGTGTGTTTCGGGTCGTTGTCATGCTGGAAGACCCAGCCATGACCCATCTTCAATGTTCTTACTGAGGGAAGGAGGTTGTTGGCCAAGATCTTGTGATACATGGCCCCATCCATCCTCCCCTCAATACGGTGCAGTCATCCTGTCCCCTTTGCAGAAAAGCATCCCCAAAGAATGATGTTTCCACCTCCATGCTTCACGGTTGGGATGGTGCTCTTGGGGTTGTACTCATCCTTCTTCTTCTTCCTCCAAACACGGCGAGTGGAGTTTAGACCAAAAAGCTATATTTTTGTCTTATCAGACCACATGACCTTCTCCCATTCCTCCTCTGGATCATCCAGATGGTCATTGGCAAACTTCAGACGGGCCTGGACATGCGCTGGCTTGAGCAGGGGGCCTTGCGTGAGCTGCAGGATTTTAATCCATGACGGCGTAGTGTGTTACTAATGGTTTTCTTTGAGACTGTGGTCCCAGCTCTCTTCAGGTCATTGACCAGGTCCTGCCGTGTAGTTCTGGGCTGATCCCCCACCTTCCTCATGATCATTGATGCCCCACGAGGTGAGATCTTGCATGGAGCCCCAGACCGAGGGTGATTGACCGTCATCTTGAACTTCTTCCATTTTCTAATAATTGCGCCAACAGTTGTTGCCTTCTCACCAAGCTGCTTGCCTATTGTCCTGTAGCCCATCCCAGTCTTGTGCAGGTCTACAATTTTATCCCTGATGTCCTTACACAGCTCTCTGGTCTTGGCCATTGTGGAGAGGTTGGAGTCTGTTTGATTGAGTGTGTGGACATGTGTCTTTTATACAGGTAACGAGTTCAAACAGGTGCAGTTAATACAGGTAATGAGTGGAGAACAGGAGGGCTTCTTAAAGAAAAACTAACAGGTCTGTGAGAGCCGGAATTCTTACTGGTTGGTAGGTGATCAAATACTTATGTCATGCAATAAAATGCAAATTAATTACTTAAAAATCATACAATGTGATTTTCTGGATTTTTGTTTTAAATTCCGTTTCTCACAGTTGAAGTGTACCTATGATAAAAATTACAGACCTCTACATGCTTTGTAAGTAGGAAAACCTGCAAAATCGGCAGTGTATCAAATACTTGTTCTCCCCACTGTACATGCTTCCCCCAGCAGAGGCTGCCAGAAGGCTGGTCACACACCTACAGTTACCCAAACTACCCAAAGCTAATTTCATACACTGTGGGCTCTTACTTTAATTATGGGCTTCTGTTCAGACATGCGGTTACAGTCGGCATGGGTTCGAATCCTGCCCTTTGACTCACCCTCTTTCAATCTCCCTCGTCTTTCCAACACTTAACTATCTCTTCAATAAAGCTTAGAAATTGCTAAAGTAGTGGGATTGCCCCACTCCTTAAAGAAATACCTTTAAAAAGATGGGATAGCATGCCGACGTGTTTTTAATTTTTCAGAGTTGTTTTTCATGTTTAGTCTTTTCCTTCATTTGCTGGTGTGTAGTACCATGAGCTGGCAGAGCAGAAGTCCAGACTGCTCCAAGAGAGAAAGACACTCGGCTACCAGCTCAAACAGGTAAAGCCCTCTATCACATGACCATTATATACATAGATGATGTTAGCAACGTTGTCATGTGTATAAGGGCTCATTAGATGAGAGGAGAGTTATTATTATTCAGGATGGATTAGAGAAAAGAGAGAGGAAAAAAAACAGCTTTGAGGGGAAAGAAGTCTAATTAGAAATGCTTCTTTCTCTCATTACTCGCTTGCTTTCTCTTCTCTTTCTGTCAAACTCATTCTCTACACTTTTCTCTCTTCCTCCCACTATCAGTCTCGCAGTAGGAAGCAGGAGACCCAGGCCCGGGTACTGCAGGATGCCCATGTGGTCTGCTGCACCCTGAGCTCCAGCGGCAGCACCGTCCTGGAGTCGGCCTTTCGGCGCCTGGGACACAAGCCCTTTAGCTGCGTCATCGTGGACGAGGTCAGAATTTGGAGCGCCTATACTTTGGCTGCATTTCAATAGTTGTTCCATCTACCAAAGTGGTCCTGGAGATGCACGGTGTGCAAGCTTTTGTTCCTGCCCTGTGCTGTAACACACCTGATTCACCAAAGTGATTGCTTGGTTGAATAAGATGTGTTGGTACTGGGTTGGAATAGCTAAAGCGTTGTGGAACCCAGGATCAAGATTGATAAACCTTGTTTTGCACATTTTGATTGTACTCTCTTGGGGGATTTTCACACTTGGTCCCTATCAGACAATTTTTGTGAAATCAGTGTGGTGCGCTTACATTTTTATGCAGGAACTAAGACCCCTCAAAAGATCCCCCGAACTGAAGAGGTGGTTTGAGTTCGGTTCGCTTGAAGTCTGTGGTCCTGTTCCCTTTTTTGGTGCAATGTGAACACAAAGCTCTCCAGGTTCACTTGTCATTATTCCCACACCACACTAGGCTACTGCAACATCCATAACCTGCCATAACAACTTACATTGGTGCCACAAATGAGAGAAGATGATGTGCAGGTTTGCAGAAAAAAAACGTGTGCCGTTGTTGGACATTGATTAGTGATTGTCAAGGAATCACAGAGATGCCAAAATATGTGTGGAGGCTACAAAAGAGCTTCATAGGCGATTTATGGGGTTTGAATAATGTGAGAAGACTACAACATATTTGGTGAGAATCACAACATGATGTACAAAATCAATGCGAGCTCTTAAAGGGGCAGTAGCCTACGTTGGTAGTACAATTTTCAATTTCAGCATTATTTAATCTGTAGTTATGCTTCTGCTATTTATCCTCTTACCTATAATATTTACATGTAAATATTATCTTGATTATAATTGTTTTATCTTTTAACTAAATGCAATCTATTAGCTTCCAAAATGTAAGTAGGTATATCCCTGGCTGTTCAATAACAGGTTCTGATGGAATGGCTGATATAGTATAATTACCAAGAGTGCATTGAGTAAATGTTGGAAAAAGGTCTTGGTTCCTTTCTAAGCATAGCAATGTGAATGCAAAGAGGATTTGGTCCACAAAATAGTTGAAGTGAACTGGCAGAGTTCTCATTTAAAGGCAAGGGCAGTGTGAATTCAAAGGTAACGGAGTTCTTTTGGGGGTTTTTTCACCCCTGAGTTCACTTTAAAGAGGACTGAGATTGGTTATTTTAAAGAGGACTATACAGGGCTCTACAATGTGACCATTTTACGCTGATATGTGCCTAAAAATAAATGTGCGAACTGAAAAAGTAAAGTATGTGCGAGTTGTGATTTATAGCACCAAATAAATTGCTGCTGTAGCTATTTTCAAAGTATTTCTGCCGTTTTTGTTTCATAGTTGGTAGCTAATCGCACAAAGAACTATGAATTCCCATATAGCTATCCCCACAAGCGCAGCAACAGTGCCTGTTGGTGGGCTATGCACACTGGGAGTGAAGTGCTGTAAGATTCATTTTTTAGACGCGCGCAGGCATAGAAGTTGGTAGAATTTACCGCAAAGTCTGCTAAAGTGTTAGTTTGAGCTTGCTCAACTGCTAGTGAAGAGACACGTCGGATAATCTCATCTCTCTGACAGACATGCAGTCGTACTGTTACCACGGTAATGTCCCGCCCCTTGAAGGGTTAGCTGAAAATGTCTCACCTAAGAGACTCAAATATTTGAGGGTACATTGTCCTTGATTGAGCATGGAACACTCCAAAAACCTTTTTATTCATGAACGTTTAGTCATTTTCTTATCTTTAAAACACTCTTGTGCTCCTAAATGTTTCAATTTAGTAGCATGTGCTACTTGTAAAAAAATAAAATGTCAGCATAAAGCCCTGCTATATCTGAAAACACCCTCACACTGTCTCAGTATGAATGTGAGGAACAAAGAGCCTTTATTTATTTCAAGACATTTCTTTGTGTGGTGCAGGCAGGGCAGGCCACCGAGACGGAGACTCTTATCCCAATGCTCTACCAGTGCAATGCCCTCATCCTGGTGGGAGACCCCCATCAGCTGCCACCTACGGTTATCTCCCAGGTACTGCAGCTCTCACTTTCACTACCTGAAAATACACCTGCAAGAGATTCTTACTCATGTGAATCTTTCTTTCAACACTTCTCAGTTCAATGATTCTGACTGACGGTGAAACATTAACTGTGTATTTTCATTGTGTTCCCCTGGCTGTTTGTTTATATATTAAAATGTTTAGTGTTAGGTAGATTAAGTGTTCCATTTAATGCTATGATCTATCTTCTGTCAGACAGCGAAGGAGTTGAAGTATGGCCAGTCCCTGATGGCTCGGCTGGTGACCAACCTGGATCAGTACTGTAAGGAGAACAAGATGCCCAGCCCTGTGGTCTTCCTTAGCTACCAGTACCGCATGCACCCCGACATCTGCGAGTTCCCCTCCAAGCACATCTACCGCAAGGCCCTTAAAACTGACAAGTAGGTTCCTCTTGCCGCCCACTCCTTTTCAACATACTGACTTGATTCAGTAGGAATGAATGGTGTTGTTTTCATGTTCCTAAAGCTGGAGAGATTTTGAACAAATATTTAATTACCACGTAGTGCACCTGTCATTGAACACAATTTATGTTTGAGTGTATTGGTGTACACAGTGCCGCATTTATTAAAGGCGTCTGTTCCTATTTCTGAAGTAAATAAATTGTTTAAATGTAAATTATATGTTAATAGAAGGGTCCAGACACTTCTTGTGGTCCTCTGTAGCTCAATTGGTAGAGTATGGCGCTTGTAACACCATGGTAGTGGGTTCGATCCCAGGGACCACCCATACGTAAAAATGTATGCACACGACTGTGTCGCTTTGGATAAAAGCGTCTGCTAAATGGCTTATTATTATTTATTATTATTATTATTATTATTATAATCTTTTTTTGTGTGAGCGATCTGGTGTGTTTTTGAGAAACTTACCCCAGCCGCGATTCACTTACTCATTGTGCAGTATCAGGGCACGCAAAATACATTTTTGAAACGGACACGCTCTCAGTATAGTGATGTAGGCCTTCATGTACACATGAAATTGTCTTTCCGAACTTTATCCGCAATGTTATATTCCACTTCTACCAGCTGTGCTGCACGGGCTTTGTCAGTGTACTATAGGGACAGCCTCGGCCTACACAGCTGTGTGGGGAAACAGCCAAAATTGATTATAACCAATGTTCCCTCTATAAAAAATAAAAAAAAGCGCTGAGCAAATTTCAGCGTGTGTTTACTGTGAACACTGAGGCTGTACCCGCTTTGTTAGTTTTAACAGTGGCCAAGTAGGCTACTGTGGCTATTTGATTATAATGTAGGCCTATCAGTGTGGCCTACCATAAACAATGGAGAAAATGCATCCCATAACATTTTAATATGGAAATAGCTGTTCTATCATTCAGCCTACTGTAGCAGCCAATGTGTGGTGTTCAATGTAGGCCTACATTCCATGAGACTTTTGAAAATAACATGCAGGACTTGACATTAACCTGTTCATCCACTTGTCCTTCAGACAAGGTGACTGAAAATGGTGATTGATGCAAGAAACCACTTTACAAAATAAATGCATTATTATTCCAATACCATTATTACAGAGAATCAGACAAATTATGCTACCCTCTTCCTATTGGCTACTTAGCTTATTCAAGCCGGTCTCAAAATACAACACTGCCCTTTTAAGACAAAAAAAAGCTCTTTACCTGACTTGCTTTTAGAAATGTACACATTTTGTGCTCTTGTAGGAAGCAATCACTCCCCTATTGCTGCCTACAAATGATCTATAACTTGGGTAATAACTCACTAACTAGCAAAGGATATGAACAAAATGTGCACACGTGGCTACATGCAGCTCTTGCTTTGATCTCAAAACAAGTGCATCTACTCAAGACTGCTCATGCTGTAAACAGAGTCCAGTTCAAAGTAAATGGCACAGATCCATATATGGCAATGGTCTACTTGCATATAGTCCTACTGCAGCTCTGATTGGTTATGCCGCTCTGGTCTGTGTAGAGTACCGGCAGAGTTGTCCGCAATAGAATCCTACTGTGTTCTGCCTACAACATCTCTTGCATTTTGTTTTGGTATGTTGCATTGAAAGTGGCTAATAATGCGTTGATTCAATCACAATTGCCACAGTAAAGGGAAAAGGGGATAACTCTATGAAGTTCAATCTCGTGCTTCTCTCCGAGGGCTGATATTTATTCTGCGCGGCAGTCCTGGGGAGCTGCGTGGCAGTCTCGGGGCTACTGCGTGCCTGCACGCAGCTTAGAGGGAGCATTGATAACGTTGCGGATTAAGTTCGGAATGACACAGTTTCATGTGTACAACATCTAAAGACCTACAGTACCAGTCAAAAGTTTGGACACACCTACTCATTCCAGGGTTTTTCTTTTCTTTTTACTGTTTTCTACATTGTATAATAATAGAACACTGAAACTATGAACTAACACACATGGAATCATGTAGTAACCAAAAAAGTGTTAAACAAATCAAAATATTTTATATTTGAGATTCTTCAAAGTAGCCACCCTTTGCCTTGATGAACGCTTTGCACACTCTTGGCATTCTCTCAACCAGCTTCATAAGGTTGTCACCAGGAATGCATTTCAATTAACAGGTGTGCCTTCTTAAAAGTTAATTTGTGGAATTTCTTTCATTCTTAATGCGTTTGAGCCAATCAGTTGTTGTGACAAGGTAGGGGTTGTATACAGAAGATGGCCCTATTTGGTAAAATACCAAGTCCATATTATGGGAAGAACATCTCAAATAAGCAAAGAGAAACGACAGCGTCATTACTTTAAGACATGAAGGTCAGTCAAGCCGGAAAATTTCAAGATCTTGTGCAGTCGCAAAAACCATCAAGCGCTATGATGAAACTGGCTCTCATGAGGACCGCCACAGGAAAGGAAGACCCAGAGTTACCTCTGCTGCAGAGGATAAGTTCATTAGAGTTACCAGCCTCAGAAATTGCAACCCAAATAAATGCTTCACGGAGTTCAAGTAACAGACACATCAACAAACTGTTCAGAGGAGACTGCGTGAATCAGGCCTTCATGGTCGAATTGCTGCAAAGAAACCACTACTAAAGGACAACCATAAGAAGAAGAGACTTGCTTGGGCCAAGAAACACGAGCAATTGACATTAGACCGGTGGAAATGTGTCCTTTGGTCTGGAGTCCAAATGTGAGATTTTTGGTTCCAACCACCGTGTCTTTTTGAGACGCAGAGTAGGTGAACGGATCTCTGCATGTGTGGTTCCCACCGTGAAGCATGGAGGAGGAGGTGTGGGGGTGCTTTGCTGGTGACACTGTCTGTGATTTATTTAGAATTCAAGGCACACTTAACCAGCATGGCTACCACAGCATTTTGCAGCGATATGCCATAACATCTGGTTTGGGCTTAGTCCCACTATCATTTGTTTTTCAATAGGACAGTGACCCAAAACACACCTCCAGGCTGTGTAAGGGCAATTTGACCAAGAAGGAGAGTGATGGAGTGCTGCATCAGATGACCTGGCCTCTACAATCACCCAACCTCAACCCAATTGAGATGGTTTGGGATGAGTTGGACCGCAGAGTGAAGGAAAAGCAGCCAACAAGTGCTCAGCATATGTGGGAACTCCTTCAAGACTGTTGGAAAAGCATTCCAGGTGAAGCTGATTGAGAGAATGCCAAGACTGTGCAAAGCTGTCATGAAGGCACAGGGTGGCTACTTTGAAGAATCTAAAATATCAAATATTTTGATATGTTTAACACTTTTTTGGGGGGGCGGTTACTACATGATTCCTTCCATGTGTTATTTCATTGTTTTGATGTCTTCACTGTTATTCTAAAATGTAGAAAATAAAACCCTTGAATAAGTAGGTGTCTAAACTTTTGACTGGTACTCTACATTGCTATACTGAGTGTCAGTTTCTCAAAGGATGTATTTGGGTGTTTTTGTAGCTTTTGTTCATGTCTTTTGCGTGCCCTGATACTGCGCAATGAGGAAGTGAATCGCGGCTGGGGTAAGTTTCTCAAAAACAAGCCAAATCAAAGTGTCTGGACCCTTCTATAACGTCAATTTAAATAAATCATGTAGATTTATTTCGGAAAATTCTACTTTAAGTGTTAAACATTCAATGTTAATCAATATTAAGTGGTTAGTGTTTAATATTACATTTTGTGTGTTTGTTCCCGTCTTCAGTGAAACTGCAGCGAGGATGGTGAACTTTGGCTGGCCTTTCCAGCCCTACCGTGTGTTTGACGTGACTGACGGCCAGGAGGTCAAGGAGGGAGAGTAAGAAAATCTCTGGATCATGGTTCTATGAGTTCTATTTAATTCTGCTGTAGGCCTCATGTTAAAGGGATAGTTCAGTGACTTTACATGATTAGATATTTTGTTCCTTACCTCGACAACAGTCTAGGGCACGTGTCAAACTCATTCCATGGAGGGCCGAGTGTTTTTGGTTTTTCCTTTCAATTAACCCCTAGACAACCAGGTGTGTGGAGTTCCTTACTAATTGGTGACCTTAATTAATAAATCAAGTACATGGGAGGAGCGAAAACCCGCAGACACTCGGCCCTTCGTGGAATGAGTTTGACGCCCCTGGTCTAGGGCCTTCAAACTCAACTCTGGACCTTGAAGCCAGTTCCACAGCTTGTTTTCATTGTTCCCCTCTAATCAGGGACCTATTTAGACCTGGCATACCAGATGGGTGCAATTCATTATCAGGTAGAACAGAAAACCAGCAGGCTTTGGACCTCATAGGGTAAGAGTGACAGTGCAATCCACACTTGGATTTTGTTAAACTAGCCACGGCCAACAATTGTCAACGGAAGCATTTTTGGTCCAATTCCCCATGTAGGTCAATCTCTCGCTGAACAATCCCTTTAATGACAAATGCAAGTCATTACGAAAAAGTGCTTGTGACTGAATACATGTTGAATGACTGTTTGATTGCCTTCTGGCTGGTCACCAGGTCGTTCAGCAACCTGAAGGAGGTGCAGCTGGTAGTGTTCCTGCTGAGGATGATGGCTGAGAAGCAGCAGGTCAAGGTGGGTGTCATCACGCCCTACAAAGCCCAGAAGGACCGCATCAACCGCGAGCTGGCCAAGATGGTCAACAAGAACCTCACGTGAGTGAAGTGCTGCACCATAAATGCGTATTCTCATTGGGGTAAGTAGATTGACAGGGATATGCTCCGATGGCACAAAGGGTCTGTTCGCGCTGCTAGTGTAAAGAGAAAATTGCCAGAAAAGGAAGCCATTTCATTAGTCTTAGCTGGCAGAATCATTAGAACCAATGAAATGGCTTCCTTTCTGCAAGCAGTGTGAAGGGACCCTAAAATAAAATGCCTTGTGTTCCAGGGTGGACGTTGACACTGTGGAAGGCTTCCAGGGCCGAGAGATGGACTGCATCATCGTCTCCTGCGTCAGGGCAAGCCACGAGCAGGGCGGCATCGGGTGAGTGGACAAGTTTTCCTGGTAAGGTCATGTGGCCAGGCCCTATACTTGGTAATGATATAACAAATGTGATTTATGTAATGCTTTACGTAGAAGTAGTATTCATACTACCAGTATTGCGCTTACTTGGGTAATGGGTATAGTTTCTCATCTATGGTGCCCCCCCCACAGGTTCCTGGGGAATCGCCAGAGGTTGAATGTGACCATCACCCGGGCCAAGTTTAGCCTGTTCATTCTGGGCCATCTACGGACACTCCAGGTAATTATGTCCTCCTCCTGGGTCAAAAATCTGTGTCTGTATGGAGGCCTGTCTGGTTGTATTTCCTTTGCCAGCCTCGTTTTGATTGTGTGTCTGTCTTAGGAAAACCAAGACTGGGGTGCGCTTATCAAAGACGCCGCTACACGTGACGTCATTAAATCAACGAATGAGATGACCTTCAAGACGGTCTCCAGGAAGATCTTCAAGCAGGAGCTGACCAGGAGCCTGTCTAACCCCCTCAGAGAAGCAGGCCCTCCCCCTGCTGCCTCCCGGCCCACCGCCGATGCCCCCAGGGCTGCTCCCATCGGGCTGCGGCGCTCCTCTGAGCCAGCCCTGTTCGCCCAGGGCTGGGACTCCCCCCAGCAGCCCAGCTCAGCATCCCCTCCCCAGGCCGCTGACAGGCCCACAGACCCGCGTCTGGTAGTCCAGCATCCACAGGCCCCCCAGCATAGAGCAGACTGGGATCTGCGAGCTGAAGGAATCAGGGACCCACGAGCGGAGATCAGAAGGGACCCACGAGCGGAGATCAGAAGGGACCCACGAGCGGAGATCAGAAGGGACCCACGAGCGGAGATCAGAAGGGACCCACGAGCGGAGATCAGAAGGGACCCACGAGCGGAGATCAGAAGGGACCCACGAGCGGAGATCAGAAGGGACCCACGAGCGGAGGGTTACAGAGACTCCCGGGTGGAAAACCTCAGAGACCCACGAGCTGAGAGGGACCCACGAGGACGGAACAGCCCAGAACAGCTTCACCCCACTGTGTACCGAAACCTGAGATGTGCTGGCAGGGAGAGGGACATGGACAGAGAGCGACACCATTCACCTGTCACCGCGCCCTGCCCAGGAGACGGAGTCAACAGACCACCGTGGGACCACAGTGCTACAGCCTCCTTCAACAACCACACACACACTCACCCCCAGAAACGAGCCCCAGACACCCGATGGATCCCTCCCACCCACTCCAAGAGGGGGAAGAGATGAGTCTGACCACTGACCCTGTTTGGTTTGTTTTTATTCGTGTGCTTTCTTATATATTCAGAGAAAGGGAACGAGAGAGGAAGGAGAGATTACTCCTCAGAGTAGTTTGGTTCTCAAACAGTCTGGATTTTAAGTGCATACTATTTCCACTTAGAGCATATATTATTAAGTGCAAAAGTATGTCTTGTCAGCAATAGTTATTTGACTATAGACAATTATTTGTTTATTTTGCTTTTGAAGTGTCATCCTTGTTGAGCACCAGGATGGTGGGTAACTGAGGCAAATGTTACATTTTGTGATCAGAATTTGACTGGTTGTGTTGCTTAATGTATGTATCTTTATAGAATCTGTAACATGGACCCCAGACATAGTCTGAGCGAACACATTAGCTGGAGCATGTGGGACAAATACATTTTATTTCTATATAGAGAGACATGTTGTACAGTAGTTCACCGCCATTTTATTCCCCAGAGAAGTGTTGAAAGCGCTGGGTGTTTTATTTCTGCTGGTTTAGTTTGGTGTTTTTGTTTGTACGGTATTGGATGCACTTTTATTTGTCGTATCACGCTGTGCATTAACACAAGGTCATTTTTACACACACAAGAAACTAATCTCTCAGTAAAGCTTATTTTAGGATACCTTTCTTGTTGACAGAGACTAGGGGATATGAGTGTATTATTAACAACTATTAGACTTCAGGCCAGCTGCCTCCTTGAATGTTGCAACCAAAGTACAGACTTCCAGTGGCTCTCAGCAACTTCAGGGAAATATAAAAATGTAAGTATACATCGCGTTATTCCTTCTGAGTTTCACCTGTCACGATACCTTCCTGTGTTCCGATTTTTGGAAGGTAATGTTTCAAATAATTTCTTAAAGTAATTTCTATGCAATGTAGTTTTTGGGGGGAAATAACGTCCTAGTTTTTCCAAGACATATGCGCCAAAGAAACCACGGCGCCAGTTTAACCCAAAACAAATATGCACACATTTTTCATGTTTTTTAAGATTGTAAATTAATCCTTTGTATTTGAAATTGAACAAAATTATTTACAATTCATTTTAAGCTGCAAAATTATTGCTTTTATTTGTTTGCAATTGGTGCTGCACCCTCTTGCCAACGTTCACCTGGGGCGTGTTCAGCAGGACTCATTGTTTTGGAACGTTCAGATAGAAATATGCTATGTAGAACAAATATGCATTTCTTACATGTAGAATAAGAATCAAGTCTGCTCTATTTGTGGAATTTCTATCTGCAACGTTCGCGAATGTTTTCGTACTGAACATGGCCCTGTATATTATTGTTCACCAAACCAATCAGCTGAATCCATCTCTGTAAACTGTTAGGGAGAGCGCCCAGTTATATTGATTATATTTTGTTATATAATGGTCAACATCGAATGCTAAAATTAGAATTTTGTTTCATGCATCTCACTTCACACAGGTAGACGGTACACTTCCACTATTAGTCGGGCCTTGTTGTTTCTGTCAAACACAACTCCTCTCACCATACCACTATCCTTTCAGCACTTCTGATCGGCGTAGGTACAACTTTGCTCTAAATAAGGCCTTCGTTTCCATTCTCCTAATGCTTGAGTTTAGGACTGTGGAGTAGGGGAATCTGATCTTAGATCAGTGCGGTTCAGCCAGGACAACTCCCACCTTGGTCTCTGATCTGCACCCAGATCAGTCTGTGCCCTATCTCCCAGAGGATCTCCCCCAAATGTCTCAATTCATCACGCTGCCCTTCATGTTAACAATGCAGACTTCTTCTGAAGCGGAGCCCAGAATAGAGACGCCTTACAGACACAATAGACTAGAACAGGATTTTATTTTACACCGGCTGAATGTGTTTTCTGTCTTATTGCATGCTGATACCCACCCAATTTATTTTGCATTCCTCCCAGGTGTTGGTGTTGCTTTTGTCTAAATGTGCTCATCCTTTACAGAGTGATAGTGCATTTCACCTGTAGTTCTCTAGTTTACGCCCAATGTCACTGACCGTTAACACCGGGAACTACTTTCTCACTGAAGTGTTTTTATTTATTTATAAAAGTCGACTCCGAATGAAGGACTCCACACGATGCCTAGGGTGTCATTAGGATGAATCTGTAAGCCCCGGGTTTCCATGATGATGATCTCTGAGTGGGAGAACCATATATACTTACTAGAATTTCTTTCTATGTGGAGACCGCTATCATGTTTTGACCTATTAGGAACAGTAATTTTGTTCTATCAGAACGTTATGGGTAGTTAAATGTTTAGGATATTGTGGAGCCATTTTTGGTTCACTTTCAGTTCTTCATAATTCCCAATGGTTCAATCTCCAACTGAGCTGGATGTGTGGGTGTCAATCATTACATTTTAGTCATTTAGCAGACGCTCTTATCCAGAATGACTTAGTTAGTGAGTGCATACATATTTTTTTTCATACTGGCCCAATCATCATGTTAGCTCTTTTTCTATTTGCATAAAACATGTCTGACCTGAATGAAATTACATAGGTGAGAGGGGAGTATGTTGAGCCATTTTTTACATTCAGCATCACTACGTCAACGGAAATATATTATTATTTCTAACAAATATATCTACATATACACTATATATACAAAAGTACGTGGACACCCCTTCAAATTAGTGGATTTGGCTATTTCAGCCACACCCGTCCGTTGCTGACAGGTGTATACAATCGAGCACACAGCCATGCAATCTCCATAGACAAACATTGGCAGTAGAATGGCCTTACTGAAGAGCTCAATGACTTTCAACATGGCACCGTCAGTCAGATCGTCAAATTTCTGCCCTGCTAGAACCGCCCCAGTCAACTGTAAGTGCTGTTATTGTAAAGTGGAAACGTCTAGTCTAGGAGCAACAGTGGCTCAGCCACAAAGTGGTAGGCCAAACAAGCTCACAGAACAGGACCGCTGAAGTGCGTAAAAATCGTCTGTCCTCGATTGCAACACTCACTACCGAGTTCCAAACTGCCTCTGGAAGCAATGTCAGCACAAGAACTGTTCGTCGGGAGCATCATGAAATGGGTTTCCATGGCCGAGGAGTTGCACACAAGCCTAAGATCACCATGCGCAATGCCAAGCGTCGGCTGGAGTGGTGTAAAGCTTGCCGCCATTGGACACTGGAGCAGTGGAAACACTGGCATTGCATCTGGCAGTCCGACGGACAAATCTGGGTTTGGCGGATGCCGGAGAACACTACCTGCCCATAGTGCCCACTGTTAAGTTTGGTGGCGGAGGAGTAATGTCTGAGGCTGTTTTTCATGGTTCGGGCTAGGCCCCTTAGCTCTAGTGAAGGGAAATCTTAACGCTACAGCATAAAATGACATTCTAGATGATTCTGTGCTTCCAACTTTGTGGCAACAGTTTGGGGAAGGCCCTTTCCTGTTTCAGCATGACAATGCCACCGTGCACAAAGCGAGGTCCATACAGAAATGGTTTTTCGAGATCGGCGTGGAAGAATTTGACTGGCCTGCATAGAGCCCTGACCTCAACCCCATCGAACACCTTTGGGATGAATTGGAACGCTGACTGCGAGCCAGGCCTAAACGCCCAACATCAGTGCCTGACCTCACTAATGCTCTTGTGGCTGAATGGAAGCAAGTCCCTGCAGCAATGTTCCAACATCTAGTGGAAAGCCTTCCCAGAAGAGTGGATTCTGTTATAGCAGAAAAGGGGGGACCAACTCCATATTAATGCCCATGATTTTGTTATGAGATTTTCAACAAGCAGGTGTCCGCATACTTTTGGTCATGTAGTGTATTTCAGGATGATGTGTATCCCTGGAAATAATCAGAATTCATATAAACATAAGTTGAAAACATAGCTTGTCTAAAAAGAGTGGTCTCTTGGCACAACTTACCCCGGGTATGGGGTAGGTTTAGTATTGAGCTGCTTTGGGTAGGGGTGTGTGATGTCCTGTGACATTGGGTCATGTAGCTGGTAGGTCAAGTTTAATTAATGGAATGGAGGTGTGCTATATCGTAAATCTTAAATGTATGCCTACATTCAGATATTGATCTCTCTGTTCAAAATCACTTACCTTTCCATTTCTTGACCAGCTGTCTGGGACAAGGATGTTGTTTCAGTGTGCCAATTCATAGTCATGGTCTCTGCAATTTGAGGCTACTAAGCCCATGAAATGTTTAGCAAGCTCAGACTCTGTCATCAGAGAACCTTGTGGACTATCATAGCCTCTCAGTGCCTTGCAAAAGTATTCATCCCCATGGCGTTTTTTCCTATGTTGTTGCATTACAACCTGTAATTTAAATGGATTTTTATTTGAATTTCATGTACTGGACATACACAAAATAGTCCAAATTGGTGAATTGGAATGAAAAAAAATACTTGTTTAAAAAAAAAAAAAAAAAAAACTAATAACGGAAAAGTGGTGCGTGCATATGTATTCACCCCCTTTGCTATGAAGCCCTTAAATAAGATCTGGTGCAACCAATTACCTTCAGAAGTCACATAATTAGATTGCACACAGGTGGACTTTATTTAACTAAGTGTCACATGATCTCAGTATTTATACACCTGTTCTGAAAGGCCCCAGAGTCTGCAACACCACTAAGCAAGGGGCACCACCAGGCAAGCGGCACCATGAAGACCAAGGAGCTCTCCAAACAGGTCAGGGACAAGGTTGTGTTGAAGTATAGTTCCGGGTTGGGTTATAAAATAAGATCAGAAACTTTGAACATCCCACAGAGCACCATTAAATCCATTATTAAGAAATGGAAAGAATATGGCACCACAACAAACCTGCCAAGAGAGGGCCGCCCACAAAAACTCACAGACCAGGCAAGGAGGGAATTAATCAGAGAGGCAAAAGAGACCAAAGATAACCCTGAAGGAAACAGCGGAGATTGGAGTATCTGTCCATAGGGCCACTTTAAGCAGTACACTCCACAGAGCTGGGCTTTACGGAAGAGTGGCCAGAAAAAAGCCATTGCTTAAAGAAAAAAATAAGCAAACATGTTTGGTGTTCGCACGAATA